TTCTGGATTTGGGTCAATCTGTTTGCCATATGGTTTGAATTCATGTTCGAGATTCTGAACCGTTTATAAAACTGGGTCACATTGACCTGGAAACCCGAAATCAACCCAGAATGACCTGGATCTAGCTTTGCACCACACCGCTCTAAGTGTAACTCGCAACCGCAGCTGCGCTCCAGCTCCACACCTCGTGTTGCACAAGTCTCGTTCCGCCCGTGACCGTGTCCGCGACCAGACTACCAAATGGTCTTGCCAATAGACCCATGCCAGCCGCACGCCTCACCTGCACCGAGCATGCCATTCGTGCTGCGCTCACCTTGCTTGTGACACACTAACGATCTTACGACTCGCCTGTGTGGCCATGTTGCGCTCGACATTCCCGTAGACCCGCACACTCTCACTTGACTAAAAAAAATTTGGGTTAGAGGTCGGGTTGGGTCAACCTGATAACCCGATGAGTCGGGTCTGAGTATGAAGTTTTGACTTTTTTTTTGCAACAAGAAAAAGATCTTATTCCATGAGAACAAAAGGAGTACAACAAAGGAGGCCAAAACAACATAATGATCGAAAAAAAGAAACCAGATATAATAGAAGATAACAATGGGGAGCTCAATCGAGAAGGTAAGTAGGCAGAAAAGGCCACCAAGCTCAGTATTGGCAAAGGCTGCCAACCACTTCGAATCCAGACACGGACCATCCAGAGGAGTGAATGAGCAATAATCCACCTAAAAGCCCACCAACCGCCAGCATTGCTTAGAAGAACCACCACCAAAGGTTGCCAACTAGTCACAGATCCAGAGTGATGAGCCCAAGCCACATCATAGCCAAACAAAAATAGTAATATCTGCAGGGCCAATAAAGAACTCATCCAAAAAAAGCTACAAGTTGCCAACATATGAGAAGAAACAAAACACCAACATGGTAGTACACCCAAAATGAGCTATCTTTTGGAATCCCGCTTTCTACGTTTACCCACCCAAAAATAATCATCTCGCAAAATATCATTCTGAGCTACAACATCCATTGATATATTAAAATTAAAAAAAAACATGTAAAACAACATAAAAAAACAAATTACTATAACATATTGAGTCTATATCTTCCATGCAGTCCGCCTTGATCTATTTGTTGTGAATTTAGACTATCAATCAAAAGATTTTTAATTTAAAACTTATATGTATAATTATATATGATATGTGTGTGAATTTGAGTTTAATTGGCTTAAAAGTAAAAAAATAAAAAAAATTAAAAAAAAAATTATGTCTTCTTAATTAAGTGGATAAGGAACAAAAGATAATTCAGTTGTTCCCATCATTTTTCCTTCAATTTTAATCATTCTCCACAAAGTTCCTATCCTTGTCTTGCATTAATTAGCCTCCAAGTATTAAAGACTCTCAATGTTGTTGCCTTCGATAGCTGCTATCGCTCATCTATTGTCACATGTTATGTTTGGCATTGACAATCATCGTCACTTGTTCTCCAATGCTCATCGTTGTCCAATGTTAACATCAACAGTCCTTCGACTAACATTACCAACCATCATCCATTGTTCGATCTCAGGCCTTGGTGCTCACCACCAACATTCATCATCATTTGTCATGTAACCATCAACATTCACCTTCCAATATCATCAATGAGCGTTGCAGCTGACAATCTTTGAGTTTTTAGACAATGAAGAATGATATATTACTATAACCTTAACATAGTTGAATTATTTTAACAATATTAGACCCTATGAGTTGTACTTACCTAGTTTTCACACACACAAAGTTCCACATCGTTCGTTAGATTAGTGTTATTTATTTGTTTATGTATAATATTTTCATGCAATAAGATGATAAGACACTTTATATATATAATGTTAAATATTTTAACATTCAATAATAATTTTAAATTTTCATCAACAATAAAGACAATAATTGAATGGATTAAATTCTATTTGGTCTGTTCCGAATTAAAAAGTAGCAAGTTTTTTTTTTTCAGATTGTAATGTACCTAATTGAAAATGTCATAATTAAAAATTTAACTTAAAACGATATTAAATAGAGCCAACTCATATCATGATATCGTGGAAGAAATGTCTATAACAAATTAACAATAAATAAATTCAATATTTATTTTTATTCAATATATGATAAATTCATCATCATTAGTTAATCATATCATAGCTATAAGTGTTAGATCTAAGTTGTATGTTGGTGTCACCAGACCTTACTAGTACATGAGCACAAGACTATAACTCGCGAACCTGTGGTGAGAATGAAAAGAGAAGAGGTAAATTCTATGGAAGTATTCTACTAGTTTAATCTTTCTTTACAAAGTGCAATAAGATTCAAAATGTTCATTTTCACTATTTATTTATAAAAATTTGAGGACTACAGGAAAGGTTACAAGAAAAGCCGTATAGAATAAATGAATAAAATGCACACTAAAAATATCATTTAATTTGGACTGTAAAAAAGGCTGTGATTAGCCTAGTGAATAATTGTGTCAAGTGTTAGGATTTAAAGGAGATAGAAAAACAATTTCATCGTCTCCGAAAGACATGCCAAATCATTAAGAAGAATTCTCTGAAGCGCACATGAATCCAATGAAATGCAAAATCAAGGTCTTCGATCTTCCACGTTTGATGCGGCGTTCTTTTAGAGAACGAGAGACCCCTTCTTTCACTCAAGATGAGAAATGAGGGAAATAAGAACTTTACCGCTTAAACTGAGGACCAAGACCCTTTTGTACTTCAAGTATATTTAATTTATTTTTATTTCAGCCCATCATTAAAATAAAATAAATAATTGACTTCTACACAAATAATTATTTCTATACAATTTTAATTGAGATGGCATGTAAGCCAAAAAATAATCTAATTCTTAAATAGATCACGAATTTAATTAGCTCAATTTTAGATAGAGTCTAATGATAATACATTACTTATATGTATAAATATATGGGCCTACATACAAAAATTTCCCAACATCAAGTACTCACAAATGAGTGGACTTGGGCGAGTCCACTGATAAGGGACGAGCTGAGAAAAGCATACCTAATGAGTCATCTGAGGTAATTGACGATCTTATTGATGGAGCCCTAGGATTGCTTCGATGTGGGAAGTGAGTCTATTCAAGTCGTGGGGGTAGTGGACTCCATGATTGGCTGATTGTGGTGAGAGCTAGAACCCTATTGAGATGATCCTTCCATGTAGCTTACATGAGTAATTATTATTGATGGCACTTCGCCCTAGGTGGTGGTGAGTGGCTTTGATTGATGCTTCATGCTTGGTGTGAAGTAGGTGGGGGATGCATGAGTCTCAATTTAGGTAATCTGTGTGAACCCCTGACTTCCTGTAAGAGGCAACTCCCTTTGACTATTTTGCCAACATCGGGTTTGGTGAACCTTGGGTGAATCTTCATTACTGATGTTCACTAATGTACGACTTCGCCTATTAAGACTTACCAACTATCTATTAAATATCTTAGAAAACATACACAAATGTAAAATAAGAGAGAAAATATGTAAAAATGCATATCATATATTGCTACAAGGGCATTTTTCTCCAATTCAAAGGAGGGTGAAGCCTACCCTAAGTTTCATTACTAATCATCATCACATATTTAATATTGAAGCCGTCATCTTATAATTGACATGCTTATTAAAGTAATAATGACATGATTATAAGAAAATAAAACAAAGCTTTTTCTATGAATTTATCACAACATCAATTGCATTAAACAATCATGTTTTAAATTACCATTTCATAACATAAATAATTTTATAAATAAGATAACTTAATTAGCTCCTGAAAATATTTTGAAAAAAATGAAATATGTACTAATAAACAAACTCACAAATCACCTACTTTATGACATGATGGCATATAGTAAAAATTATATAATTCAATCAATAGATAATCCTAACATAATGATTTCTGATATATTTGAAAAAAATTGGTATGATCGGCGAATATCGAGGTAAAAATAAATTTAGAAACTTCTCAAATTAAAATCATGGTCATCGTAATTTTGATTTTAACAAATTTATAGTCGAACTAAACATATTGACAAGATGAACCCAAAGATGCCAAAGAGTGTCCAATTTAAGCCTAAATGAGATCCAATCAACTATTTGAAGCATAATTGAAAACTTCAAACCTTAATTAGATGATTAAATGATCTTTAAATTTAACATCTTTATAGTTTAATCGAGCAACTTGACTAGACAAATCCAACGAGCCCAAAATCACTCAATTATAACATCATTAAAACACTTAAATGTTGAATAAATGCTTCATAATTAAAGAGAATCAACATGGACCGTACGATAAAGTGCTTTGAATTATGATTCAAATTATTAAATGCACATCCCAAAAAGCTTTAAATAGAGTTCCATTCTCTACTTGAGGGAGAAGAAGAAAAAAGAGAACTAAAAGTTTTATTGTATTTTTCAACTATTTCTATTAATGACCACCGCTTAACTATTAGCCACTAATCATCACCATCAACAAGGATTGCCGTCATCTCTAGACTTTTGCTAAGAGCTAACCTTGCTTTGGATTTCAATTTTTCATTTGTGGGCATCATACTTTTCTAAGTCCTATAAAAAGAAGTTAGATATTTTATTATCAAATAGTGATCATCTTCTTGTTTAAATGTGAGAAAGAAAATATTATTATATCTTCTAATTTAATAAATTTTTAATGTAAAAAATAGAAATATATAATAATATTTTTATATAAAAATTTTGAGAACCACCTCCATATAAAAAAAAAAAACATGGAATATTCAGCTGAAAGATTAGTCAGCAAAAATCTAAAAATAATAGAACATTAACGAAAAGCTGGGAAATGAGAAGCGTTGCCTCTTGCCATTTCCCTACTCCATCCTGTATCAAATCGCCTCCTCCCAAAACCCTAATCACATGGGCAGTAAAAAAGAGAAGAGGAAGAATATGACCGCGTAAGTGTAGGCAGAATTTGGAGCGCAAGTTGGTTAGAGGAAAGAGAGGACCTCAGAAGATTGATTGCCGGAGAGAGAGAGAGGAGTGGGAGCGATAATCCCGAGAGAGAGGACGAAGGGAAGAAGAATTTATTTTCCTTCCGCCTCAGAGATATTCAATTCCGTTCTGCATCTGTGTTGGCTTCCATCTTATGGTCCCTTACCTGTGCTGCTTTTAAAGTAATATTAAACTTATCCGCGGTATCGAGGAGAGGAATAGGGTTTGAGACTTGCAACCAAGTTCACTGCTTCGCATTAAGGGGGGAGTTTGCCTGTCCTCAACTCTTTTCTGTGCTGCTGCAGCAGATGTTCTGTATTATTATCTCACGCAAATTGATGTTCTTGGCTTCGTGATGTTGCTTTTGGTTAACTCTTTCTGAGTTTGGACGAATTTAGGATGAACTTATCTTAAGTTTAGTTGTCTCTTGGGGGCAATGTTTGGATTCACGTTGAATTTGGAGATGATGTTCTCCTGAGAGCACTTGATGGGTTCTCTTATTCATTGTTGATGATTGAGCTCTAAGAATTGCGACCTTGTTTTATAATGTTTAAGATTTGAGGATTTGATTTATCCTTTGGCATTCTTTCCTTCGTTGAGGAGATTGAAGGGGTTTCTTTGGATTTTGGAAATTTTTGCGTGTTATCATTTGATAATTTTCCTGAGATAGTCAGTATTTAAAAAAAAAGGGAGTTAACATTACCTAGTTAAACAGGGTTTTGTTCGTCATTTCCAGACCGTTAGGGTTACGAATGGCTTTTGACAATTCACGTGCATAGACTGAAGAAGAGGGCGATTTTACTCGGTTGGTAATTGTTTGGTGAGATAGACTGCACTAGTCTCTTTTAAATTTGGTGTTAGATGGTGATCTGTATCTGCAATGGAGCGAGGTGAGCCGAGTTTTGTTCCAGAGTGGTACAAAGGGGCAAGCGGCAACAATTTAAGTCCCCTGAATGGATCCTCACATTCTGGTATTATTTCTTGCCTCAGGTTACCCTTTTGATTTGTTCTACATCTTAATTTATTTATATTTAACTTCAGCAGCAGATGATATTAACACTGGGTTCTCAACGAAGAACAGATTGTCAGTTAGTTTTTGTGAACACGATGCTCCTCGTTCATTGTCTTTCACAGAAAGAACCTCATCTTCTTCCCATAAAAGTACCTGTAGTAATGGTTCCATGGGACGGGAGGACCTTCCTTTTCGGGCTTATAGTAGTTTTGGTAGAAGCCATCGTGATAGGAATAGGGATCGAGTGGAGGATCTTGAAGTTTGTGACAGAAATCGACTACTTTTGGAGGATAATGGATTCCTTAACAATCCTGATTCATTGGCTACTAACAAATTAGAGAAAGAGTCCCTGTGGCAATCTCATTCTATGGTATCAGGAAGTGGTGACTCTTGGCTTAAAAGGCCAGCGCATGATTCTAGTAATAATATTACTTCAGGGGGGAGCATTGTCACTGGTATTAGTAAATCCTCCTTTGAGAGAGACTTCCCAATGCTTGGAGCAGAAGAAAGGCATTTGGGTTCAGATGTAGCCAATGTTGCTTCTCCTGGTCTAAGCAATGCCATTCATAATCTTCCAGTGGCTGCTTCGACAATCATTGGAGGTGATGGATGGACATCAGCTTTGGTGGAAGTACCTTCTATTGTTGGAGGAAATGGTCCAGTAGTTTCTTCTGCTCCATCAAGTAGTCCTCCTCGGGCAATTGTTTCAAGCCCTTCTTCTAGCTTAAATATGGCTGAAACTTTGTCTCAAGGTCCAGCCCGAGTTCGCACTTCATCGCAGGTAATTTGACAAATGCATTTAGATGTCTGCAAGAATCATTGTTTGTTCTCATACTGTGTTGTTGCAGCTACCCAATGACTCTCAGAAGATTGAGGAATTACATCGTCTGCAAATTTTGAAACTCAGACCTGTAATGCCATCAATGACTAAAAATTTGGTATGTGAAATTATAGTTTTTTTTTATTTAAATTTTGGCATATTGTAAGATTTCTTTTTATTTATGTGAGGCATGAAATTTTTGTCTACCTCTATTGCATTATAATGAAGCTAAGAAAACTGCTTTAAGCAGGTTATGATTAGCTTAGTTGTTCCAACTTGGAATTACCATTCTTGCATAATTTCTATGGCCTATCAGTTGGTCTTGGTGTATTTTTTATTGTTAGCTTGGACATAGTATGATAATCATACTATTCTTCTGTCGTTGATATTTCTATGACCTATCATTGAAATTTACTTAATATCAACTAAAATGGTATTATAATCCTATTATGTGGAATGGTTCTTCCTGATGATTGCATTGAGATATTTACAAGTTTTAATGTACTATTTTATTAGTTCTATCTTAGATTTTGTGAATTGTTATTCATGTTTGAATTTTATTTAGGCTTTGAAAAGATATTCATGTAGGTGTCAATTCAGGTTGGCACGCTAGATTTAAGTTTGACCCAAAATGGACCCACTTGAAGATGCTTGACTTTAACCTGACTTCATTATTATCTGGGTCAAAAGTTTGACTTAACTCGTGTCAATTCGAACCTGCTCAACCTGAATTCAACCCAGTTGACCCCTTTATTATATAGATTGGAAAAAGTTTTAGATCAATATGATCTCTTTAATCCAAATATAACATGTTTAAGCTAAACCCTGTTTGTTTAACTTGAATTTGAATGATATTCACGTCAATTTTAGGTCACCCTGAATCATATTTGAAAATTAATTGGGTCAATATTTTAGACCCGAACATGACTCGATAAGTAATCAGGTCAACCCCAATCCAGGTTTTTCAAGTAAGGTTTAGAGATGTTAGGTTTGATCATTTATTGACACCCTTAAATTTATGCATGAGTTTTTAGTGACTAGCTTAGAGTAATGGTGAATGGGGAATAGGGTTACAGGGACCTAGGCTTATTTTAAACATATTTTCTTATTAAAATAGTAGTAAATGAGATAACTATGAAAAGGGATGCTCTAAATAATAAAAGATGTTGATGTGTATTATGAGTTGGGAATGTGTGCCATGAAACAAGGGTTTATTAATGCATAATGCTGCAATGATTAAACACATTACTGAACTGAAAGTGTTAGCCTTGTAAAACTAGCAACAGTGAAAATAATAAAATATATAAAGATTAAAAGATCAATGGATTGTATATTGGTTTACAAGATGTTTCACTGGTGGTAGAATGGAATTGTTGCAATGCACCATGATTTGTAGGACCTTCTAAGAGAGGTTGGAGGATTTTATAGTGTGCTTAAAAGAAAAAAAAGATTGTTGGAGAAGCATCATAAATATTCATTAATTCAAGTCATAGCAACGTGGGGCTTATAATTATGTTTGAAACTCGAAACTTGCTTAAAGATTGCTCAAATTTTCATAAACTTGAAATTGATTTGCTTGAACTCGAGGATTTTTTACTATGACTATGTGATGGATCGGCTGAGCCGGTCCAACCAATCAATCTGGCCCCAACAAGGTGGCCAATCTAGCTGGGGAGCAGAGAGCCCTGTGGGCCCCACTAGTGTGGGCGGTAGTCAAGGAGAGAGGGGGCTCAAAGGGGATTAATTGTACCTTTAATTACTTACTATAGAAAACCAAAATTTGGAGGGAATTAGGGATGTTTATTTAGGGAAAGAGGGTTGATTTGAATTCAAATTTGGGAGAGAATTAGAAAGATTTATTAAGGAAAAGAGGGCTGATTTGAATTCAGATTTGGGAGAGAATTAGGAAGGTTTATTTAGGGAAAGAAAGCTTGTTTAAATTCAGATTGGAAGGGAATTAGGAAGGTTTATTTAAGATTAATTAGGTTATTTTATTTTCATTATGGAATTTTGTGTTTGTTGTAGTTTTCTTTGGAGTTGTTCTTGGCGGAACCTAGGGTGTGGAGAGTATCTAGCTCTTGACTAGTAGATTAACTTGTATCTTAGTTTGTTGTGCCGATGTCAATAAAATTAACCCATAATCTCATTTTTTCTCACTGATTTTTGCTATGTTTTCTCTTTGTTATTTTTTTTTATCTATGTGGAGATCAAATTTCTATTTCTATGTTCAATCCAAATCAAATTTTACTCTATATATGTTTAAATACAAATGTATATGTTTGTTTTCTCACATATGCATGATATAACTCTATATAATCTTATTTAGGACTTTATATAATTTTTTTATAATTAAGAGACTTGGCCCTAGTTAAGTCAAATATCACTTGAATTAAAGTTGACTCAAAATTGACATTTCCAACCATTTTTAGTCTATTTGATTCAACCTTTTTATTCTCTCAGTCATAGACTTATATGTGTATAGTCCTTTCGTCTCTTCACCTAGATTGTTTGGAGTATTATAATATGCATATTAATCCTTTCTTAGAGATGAGTTGAATTGGGTTTTAATTCCAAATAGTTGGCGAGGTGTTGGTTTTAGGAGGCATTTATGTAGTGGAATTGTTGGATATAGAGGACATGCAAGGCATATATTTTGATATTCTTGTGGAGTTGGTATTCTCTCCGATTATATCTCCATTCATTCTACAAATCATTGAGAAGAGATTGTAGGTAGGTTTTATTTGGTCGTGATTTAAGGGCAGGCTGTGTCAGGTTCAAATTTAAAAGATTAGTTGGTACTTGGTATATTCTTATGGATAGGCTGCTAACCAATGGAATGACTCGTTGGGGAAAGGCAGATTGAATTTAATGTGTCTAAAATTGATTGGTAAAACAACCTTTTGTTATGATTTTAAATTATTTTGTGTTGGAGGGTTGCATACAGACTTGATCCCCGTGGTTTGTTTACAAGAATGTTGTCATTTTGAGTTAGTGAGTTTATAGGGTAGTCCACTAGAGATGCATTGCATTATCGATGCATGGTGTGCTAGCTTTGGAATGAGTTAGTTGCGAGCCTTTGGTTGATTCCACTAGAGATATAATATTTGGGTGTTTTACTGATTGAAGAGTGACTCCCTAGGGACTTTGAGTTTTGGATTGCTTGCTGGTTTATTTAGAGTGGGTTTCTCTTGGGATAATCATACTTGGTTGGGATTTAGTATATCAAGGAGGCAACCTACTGAGGATAAACATGACTAACTAGTGAGATAGTGCAGGGGTAAACTAGTAGTTTGCTAAAGTGACCATTTGGGATTCAGATAGTTTGATAGTTTGATTATCCAGTGAGGTAGCTTTTTTGGAGGCATATGATATTTGCTTGATCAATCATTACTAAATGGGTTTTATTATCAATCATTACTAGTTGGGTTTTATTATAATAAAGTCCATTTGGCTCTTAATATGACACAATAGAGAAAAATGATTCATGTAACCGATCCCACTTAGTGGGATAAAGGCTTGATGTTGTTGTTGTAATCATGACTAATTGGGTTGGTTTGGTTTGGATCCTCAACAAGTTGGCTAAGAGTGATTAATTTAATAGTGGCTTTAGGTATGCTTAGGGTAGACTCCATTAAAAATAGGATTTGTGGTAAGCTATTTCAAGAGCATTTTAGTCGTGGAGCTATAGTTTATCCTCATTTGAGGTATTAAGGAGGGTTGATGTATTTGTATATCTACATTTATGTAGATGGGGACATTGATATATTTATGGGGGAATCATTTTTGTTGATAGATCTAGCCTCTTCTCTTGGAGGTAGTTTAGCCTTATCCCAATGCTAGAAGGAACATTTGATTTAGGGGCATTTGGATATGGTGGAGAAATTTGAATGTGGGGTGTAGTTTATTGTTATTTTGGATGGGTAGTTTAGCCTCATCGCAAAGATATTAGGGATTTCACATATTTTATGGAGAAAGAAAATTTAGGAGCATTTGGCGAATGCTACCTCATTTCAAACGTATTTTATTTTAACTTCGTTTTATAGAGGGAAGCAGAGAGAATGATTTGAGGGGGGAGGGAGGGCTGATGTATTTGGAAGAGGGGTAGCAAATTTGCACTCTTTTCACTCTATTTAACAACTTAGGAAGATGGACATATAATTTAATTTATTTCACTTTGATGAGACTAAAGCTTTTGGGAAGTTTTGGACAAATCCACATTTTGACATTGTGATATTTGGGCTTGGGATTTTTACCAGAGGCAGGAATAGGTGAGGGGAGACTACTCACCAATTTTCATAATTTTTTAATAAAATGGGTTTTTTGAAAATTTTGTAAGTTGAAAAATAAGAAAATTGTGGTGTTCAAATCAGATAAAATTTTGACTTGAAATCTTTTTGGTGGATAAAATTTGATTAGAGGAATCTCCCATAAAACATTTGAAATTTAATATAATTTTTGGTAATCCAATGGCATATGGTAAATTTAGAATTTTGAAGAAACTTGAATTTTTCAAGTATTGAATTTTGAGTTGAAGTTTTTATTTTAGGTAAAACCTTATGGAGAGTAGGTGGTGATTCACCAAGTTTCATGGTTTTTGGCATTGGGCAAATTTTTTGGTGAATATTGATATCTGTACGAGCATAACACCTAATCTGTTTGAGCATGCATGCACGCGAAACTTTTGGAATGCTTTAGGGATGTGGAGCTTTTTAAGTGGGCTCAATTCAGATTGATAGCTTGTTGAATTGGGCAAGAATTGTCATCTTTTGTAAGGTGTCTTACTTAATGGACTTGTTGAAAGAGGGGTTAGGGGTTTGCAGATATTTGTTTGTTTGGATAGACTTGACTTTGCATAGCGGCTTTGCAGTTCAAAGTAGAAATAGACTTGTTGCCTGGTGCTTCGTAATGGACATGAAAGGTCCTGTATTTAGACCTCTATTGAGGATTTTGCAACTTTACTGTCATTTGAGATGATACCATATTTGGACTCTTTCTAGGCATTTCCATGAGGTAATTTGTTTCATGAGTGTTCCACTAGGGATTTGATTGTTATTTTAGAGCTAACATGGTGCAATTTCAATCTTCTCTGGTTACTTAATGGTTTATTAGCATTGTTTT